TAAAGATATTGTTATTATTAACGATCATTTGAAGATTGAATTGGTTGTTGTTATCGGAATACAGATGAGTTTTAAAAGTTTTCATCAGCCATGTGATAATGAATATCTAGATTACGAAAAACTTGGGGTGATGAGATGAACTTGGTTTTTTTATTAATATTAGACTTCCGGAAAAAGTTTTGCTAAAAGTCGACTTTTTTAAGGTACTTTCACGCTAATTTGCAAAAAGGTGCCTAAAAGGTGCCTTTTTTACCTAAAAACTACTTGAAATACATCCAAAGTTTGTTCAAGAAAATCTTGAGCAACTTTCAAACTGTTTTCAAACAATTCCTCAAGAATGATTAATTACTTCTCAACCAAATTCTCAAAACGTTCAAGTATTTGCTGAAAAAACCCCAAGGGCCCTCAAACTTCTGAACTCACTTAACTATATCCTTTTCCAAAAAATCCACCAATTCCTTAAGAGATCCAAGGTTTTTGAATGTCACCATCTCGGGTCACTGTAGTTTTGATGGATTTTTTTACATCAATCACGAAATCTTTCGAAAGCTCTGGTCTTTTGGGCTCCTCAACTTTTCTTGGCATGATGATTGTTTTCTTTTTGATAAGGTTCAGGTTTTTTCTCTTTCTGGGTGGAATGATGTTCAAATCAGATCTCTTCCTCTTCTGGATTTTTTCTTGCACAGCATGTGTCGCCATCAAGTATTTAATTTTTGTCTTTTCGCAAAGGGTGCTGTATTTTAAAAAAATGATGCAACAACACGCACACAACATCCACCTCCCACAAACTACATCCCACAACATGACTTCAACACTAACAACAAACAAATAATCAAACATCAACAATGAGCATTCCACATATGTTTAAATGGAATTGGAAGAAGTCTTCTGATATTACCGCTATCAAGAAGAAGAAACCAACAAAACGTGGTAGGTTGTAGTTTTGTATAATAATTAATTAAATAATTAATTAATCGGATAAGTGAACATTGTTAACAACCAGAGAGATAATATAATTCTAGATATGGATGACACTTTAAATACAATGCCAAACGAAGGAACTATTCAACATTGGCCACTTACTTCTAATCAAGCCTCCAATTTTTCATTACCAACCATTAATTTTGTACCATTGGAAGAACCAACACAAAATGAAAGTATGTTTCATAATACTTAATATTTTAATATTTGAAAGCCTTCTCATATTTGGCTCTTCTTACACAACCCTCTCCTCCAAGTAAGTATTTCTTATTTAAATTTAAATTTATAATTTATAATTTAGAAATTAATTATCAATGTGGAAGAGTAATGGTTTCCAATAACAATATGTGGAATACTGATAATGATACAACATACTGTCTTTCTGATAATGAATCTAAAGCCTTAATGGAAAGAATTCAATTTTTTATCACACCAAATGGTGGTGAAGACACATTCAACATTAAATTGTCACCAGCCTCTCCTAAATATAATCACACAAGAATGAATCCTGATTCAGCAAGAAATGTAACTTGGAGACAGAATTTATGTTTTACACTTCCATTTGGTCCAATTTCAGATTTATTCTTCTCTCAGTTAACTCAATCCAAACCATCATCTGTTAAACTTACATCTAAGTATTACTATATGGAAGGCAAATCCTCTAAAGGTTTGAAACTTGACACAAAAGTGTACGTATGGGATGAAGATAATATGCCAAGTTTAAAATCTGAACATTGGTTTTTGT